GTGTAAGACTTTTCACCAAATGAACACACATAGACGAACAATCATTTGCGCTCATACTGACACCTAGGGACAATTAATGTTCAATCAGCCTGCCATGCATGTTTTTCGAATGTGGGAGGAAACCGGAGTACCCGGAGAAAACCCACGCAGGCCCTGGTAGAACCTGCAAACTCCACACAGGGAAGCCGGAGCTGGAATTGAACCGCGTACCTCTGCACGGTGAGGTCGACGCGCTAACCACTGTACCACCGCCCCACACATTCCAATTAAAAAAAATAAATAAATAAATTGGGTTCCTGCTGACACATTTCAACATCAATGGCGCTCAAAGAGCTACCACAATATGAAGGCTCATCCACCCCTACACACCTGCCCAGCGCCTCAGGTCTGCGGACCAGACATTATTGGAAGTACCAAGAACTAAACTGAGGCTCAGAGGGGATCGAGCCTTTTCTGTTGCTGGTCCCTCTCTCTGGAATGACCTCCCACTGAACATTCGGCAAGCCTCGTCGCTGCCCATCTTTAAACCCCGCCTCAAAACTCACTTGTATTCTTTGGCATTTGACTCAGCGTGACTTAGATTTGTTCTTGGTTTTGCTGTTTGGTGCTTTCTACTGTCTTTGTTACCGATTTGCTTTACTGTTTGTTGTATATGTTGAATTGCTCCATGTACAGCACTTTGTATGCAGCGATGGCTGTTTGAAAGTGCTCTATAAATACAGTTGAGTTGAGAATATTACCGCTGAACACAACAAATGCAATATTGGTGTGATAAAGCTGAGAAGATTGCTCCAGTGTCACAATGACACACTTCATCCACTCTTTACCAGTATGGCTGAAAACATCTTCACACACGTAACACACTTGGCATGTGGATTTATTTGAAATAAATTTTAACGGCAAATCATCATGTTGTCAATGGTAACTGAGCAAGAAACAAATAAAGAAAAGGCATATTCCAAAGAAGCACAGAGATTTTATTTTTTTGTGGCATCTACTCGAAGATTCTCGGAATAACGTTTTCAATTGAAAATGTAACTTCAGGGAAACAAAAAAATGCATATTTCCCCTTCCTGCTCTACACCATGCGAAGCGGCTGAGACCTACTGTAGTGAACCATTGAGGTTTTGCATGACATAGCGTAGAGAATGTCTTGCACCTTGCACACCAGGCCGGGGCCTTGAAACACTGAGTCGTGACACTTTGAACCACAGGAAAAAATAGAAAAAAAAAGAAACTGATCTCCAATTGTGCACGTGCCGTATTCCAGCGTGCTTGCAAAGGCTACTTTTAGAGGGGCTTCAGTGATTTTCCTCATTTCATCCCCCTTGTTGCTGACGCATGGTCCTGTCCAGAGGAAAATACTGCAGCCTCCCTCGGTGAATAGCTCGTGGGTGACAAATAGTCCTTGCTTTCCACTCCATTTGGTCCAAGGCAGCTCACACCCTCCTTCCTTGTCTTCCTCACTTCTGTCCTCAAGCTCCCATCACATCCTGTCCCTCCTGTTTTCTCTCCAGGCGCTGACCTTTCAGATGATGCCTTTTCCCCCCTCGGCCTCCCTGGCCAGTGGCTCCCCTGGGAGCTATAATGGACTCGGTGTTAATTGCCTGTTGAAGGACAGAGGCAGTTCTGCACAGCCTGATTGCAGACTCCCTTGAGAATACAGCTGTCTATGTGATTGTTGCTCTAATGCAGCACAAGTTTAACAAAAAAATTAATTCAGCCATCATGTGCCTACACATTTGTAGGCAGAGGTGCGGCCAATCAATATAAATCAGCTGACTGGACCATGTCAGACTGTACATTTATCTTTGGGGGTTTTGTGTTTTGTGGAGACAAACTTAAAGAAGGCACAGCATACTTTTTTAATTGCGTTCATTCAAGTATTGTCGTAACGAGTTTTCACCCATTTCTGGGCCTTTTTTTTTCCCCCTTTGCCTTGCATGCAAAACAAATACAAGTGACCTTTCAAGTACTCCGCTATTAAGATGGTGGCAGTGAACTTCACAACAAAATGTGAAAGTATGGATAACTGTTATGTTTAATGGCTCTCTCAGTTAGCATCAATGGTAAAATTAAACATAAAAATAATTTAATCGTGTATCTAATCAAATCACACAACTTAATGGGAAACTCTATAGAATGGCTAAAAGTGCGCTCACCCATGAAATGTGAATTTATAATCGTAAACATTTTGAGAGCCGCTTCTGAGAAAAAAAATTGTCTCTGTGATCAAGCCGTTCATAATTTTGCCACACGGTTTCAACTTAATAAAAATAATAATCATAATAATACAAAATATCTTCAGCCGGTCGAGCTTTGACTTGTCAGCACAACCTCGAGATATAAAGTCAAATCAACTCACTTCACAAGTTACAGTTCTTCTTCAAAAAAGAGACTTTTCGCTGTTTAAAGCCACTCGTTTAATGTCAACTCAATGTGTGACACAATGTGTGACAAAACCTATTCAATTACTTTTCATTCTATTTAATTGTCAGTAATGTATGTTTTCATAAAGTACATTTTACAGGTATATTTTTCTCATTAAAAAAAAAAACCTGAAGCTGTAACCGATTAATAGAATTTCCACTCATCTCAATGGAGAAAGATGATTTGACATAAGAATGATTTAACTTACATGCATGGTCGACATGGGCGACACTTTATGTGAAATGAAAAGCAATGGTGTAGATGAGCTGTTGATAAAATGTTAGAGGGGAGCGACCAGGTTAAAACGCACCACTCTTCATCCCTGTACCTAATATTCCTCTGCCTGTAGCCCATGGCAGGACCTTGATGTCGAAAGTTTGAAGATGAATGTAGGTCCTGTTGTCCTGGCGGCCAAAGCGTGATTTCTGTCAGATAAGGGCCCCCTTTTCATCCCCCCTGCTTATCTTAGCGCTGTTATGTCACGGTGAGGCTGATTCGCATAAACAGTGATGCCTTCTAGGCAAAGCATGCCACGAGACGACCGTGCTGGGCAAGTCATTTTGACATCTTGCCGATTTGCAACTTGCTGTCAATGCGGAACTCTTCACGTGTTCTCTGAACTGAATATTCACCATGACACCCAAAATTGTTTGACCGGAGGCAGGTAGCTGATGTTAGCTAATGCTCTATCTGTGGATTTTTATCACCATGCAAATCTAAATATGCTTTACTTGATATCGATTATTTTTCGTTGAATGTTTCAATACGGCGGCAAGGTTGAAGTTGTATTCTCTCATGTAAATAGTGTCGTGCACAATGCATGGTATATGTAAAGGCTTTACTAGTTGTGCTTGGCATTAATTATCAAAATAAATAAGTAACCCCGCTCTATGTACTTTATTCTGTTGGGATTAGCCGACGAGTATCTCTTCAATTTCATTACACACTTCAAGGATCACCATTTTCTTCTTTTGGATTTGGGGAGACGCGTGTAAGAACCTTGAAAAAAAAATAATAATATTGAGTCACTTGAAGGTGCTTGGTACCTTTGATGCATGTTTTGGTTAAGTGGACATAATAAATCATTTCCATTACTCACATGACTAATTTTTTTTTAATTTAGCCGGGGATTCAATTAGCTAGTGTCTGATGGGAGACTGGGGGGAGGTAGAGAGGTCTTCACTGTTACATGCGGCAGCATAATCACATTAAGAAGCCATGAAGGGGCCCTTGTTAAGACCAAGAAATCACCTTGAGTTGGGGAAAGAATAATTTGAAATGTCGGAGACCTCCTGGGTAAACTCCAGCCAGATGTTTGGAGCCTGCTGTGCTTTCAACATAAATAGCTTTTATTAGTTTGTGGTGGAAAATCTGTTTGTTTTTTTTTAATTGAGGAAATTGAGGACTCTTTTCGGTTCTAGCTGACGTATTTTTTTCCTGACATAATCAACAATTAAAAACACATTTGATGAACGAAAGTGATAATTCGCAATTAGGTCAAACATTGTATCAGTTTATCAATACAATGTATATCGTATATTCCCAGTCCAAGGTTCAAGTGTCTGCTCCCACCTTCCTGTGTGGACTACACCAGCTTTCTCCTGCATTCCAAAAATCCTAGGTCAAGTCAAGACTCAAAATCATCAATCCAAACTATGGCATTGGGGCCAATTGCTTCCCGCGATCCATTTTTCAATGGCCGCGCCATACACTAAAAATTTGATGAAAAAAAAAAGGTGGAGGTGGACAGAGTAAGAAAGGAGGATGTAAAAAAAAAAAGAGGTGCCAATCCTATTCATAAACGGGTTCACATACTGTACAAATTACAAACAATTAATGACTAAAATAAAAACACAAATTGTCTTCAAGATACCGGTGAGTCAAGATAAATCAGTTTTAGAAGTCAAAACGGTTTCTTCCATACTCTGTCGTGCCAAGGTCCGATTTACAAACATATCACATTAATTACATTCTCAAATCACCGTTTTAAAAATGGTCAGCTTTCTACAGTTTGCTCTTTGTTTGGTTTTAAATGTGGAGATGGGACTCGGCTACTGTTCAGTGCAGGGGGTGGATGTAATCTCGTGTGATACAGTGCCAATGGCTACCACAAAATCTTTTCAAAAAAAAAAAAATTGAAACAATTGGCCTTATCACCTTTAACAGAAAGCTGTTATGTAACAGTTTTTCCAAAATAACTACAAAATATAATTTATACATCCATCCATTTTCCGATCCGCTCATCCTCACAAGGGTCGGTTGTTGGTCACAAGGGACCAACAACCATTTGCATTTACAATCACACCTTAGGGCCAATTTAGAGTGTTCCATTAAGCTGCCGCGCATGTTTTTGGAATGTGGGAGGAAACCGGAGTACCCGGAGAAAACCCACGCAGGCACGGGAAGAACATGCAAACTCCACACAGGAAAGCTGGTGCTGGAATCGAACCCGATACCTCTGCACTGTGAGGTCGATTTTCACTGGGCCATCGGTCCAGTCCTACAAAATATAAATGAAATATAATTTCTTGCTTGACTGATTTTAGCGTCTTTCATCAATTAAAGTTGAAGACTTCAAAAGTGGCCTTTGCATCCTTGCATTTTATTGAACGTGGCCCTCAAACAAAAGGTTTGGACACCCCTGCTCTAAATTATCTTGGAAGGACATCATCGATGTAGCATCTGACCTTTCTCAGTCATTACAAATTTCAATTGAACTTACTTCAGAATCTGATGCCAGAGCACATGCCTTTCGCCCCCCCGCCCCCCATGCCTCAGTTGGCAAAATTTCATTTCTGCGTCATGCCTTGATCCAGATCCTCAACAAATGGGAAATGGCTTTCCCTTTGGCCGCCCTCAACAAAATACCATGGGAATGTTTTGGGTTTTTGTTTTTTTTTTTCCTGCTGACTAACAGAGAGAAGAGAAACAATTGCTCTCTTTTTACGTGTGCAGTCGAATAATCCGGAGTGAGCCACTTCCTGCTGAAGTAGGGGAATTCATCAGAAACATTCAATGAGAAATGTAAGAAAGTTAATAACAGGTGCCGCTAGGTGTGAAATGGGCCATTGGACAAGCCAACCAAGGATAATGCAGCTATTCAAGTTCTGCTCTTGGCGGGGGCACTTTTGTACCTAGAACTGAAATGCGACTTCATTTGGCCTCCTGAAAGGCTCCGTTTTGTTCAATTTGTCTAAAAGCCACTGACTTATGTGACAGTTTAAAATCTTTATAGAAGTGGCTTCAACTCCAATGCAGAGTGGCTTTTTTTTTGGGCCTTCCCTCTGATCCACCCGTCAGTTTAACACAATGTGTACAAAGAAAAGCAGTTGGACGGTGCAGAGAGGGTACCCCTGCTGGGATCTCCTCACAGAATCCAGGGCACAATGAAGATGCTTGTATGACTAAGAGTCATGGGAAACTGTGAGAAATCTCCCTTTTGGCTCCTTTCCATTCCTCAACAAAACATACACATTCCTCAGTGCAGATGTGTAGTTTGTGAGTGGGTTGATGTGAGACATGAGTGACATCAACAGAGTTGTGAGCTGAGGAACGTAAATTTAACATCAATCCAGAAATTTATTTGATCACAGTCACGGGCGCATTGGAGTGATTTTCACATTTATTTGTCACGACGGGTCAGTCGATAAAATGAAAACAAATGGCTGTTGCGGGAAATGTTGTGAAATGAATGATTTCATGACTTTGTTTTTGAAGCCTAGGAATGACGCGCTGTCAATACTGTTTATTGAAGAATATTAAAATATGTTGACATGGACGTATCATGGCGCCGCACATGACATGGGTATCTACTCTGCTCTCTCTGGCTTTGAATGATATAGTGACTGTCCCTTATAAATGTGTCAATCAAAAATACCCCCCGCCCCCTTCACTGACATCCATATTAAATTTGATGAAAAATCAAATTTACAATGGAATATTCTTACAAGATCTCCATCAGTGTTTATTTGAACAAGTCTGAGAAAATAAATCGTTAAATCGGGCAAAAGGGCAAAATGTGACCAAGAGGCAAACAAATGCTGCTCAGTCAGCAGGATTAAGGCCTCTTATACTGCACTTCCTGTTAGTGCGCTTATTTTGAAACCTATTTGCATCACTTCCGATGCACTACTTTGTAGCCTGACGCTAACTATAGGACGGCAACTGGAATTGAAGGAGGCTTTCCCGTCATGCCTTGCTGCCGTTACAAGTAACTCTTGTTATTCTCTTCCGCTTCTTTCATGTGTCATTTTGTACACACACGGTGTGATATAATTGCAGCGCTGTTGTTTCCAGTCAGTTATTCAATTATTGGACCTCAGTAACAAGGCAGACAGTGCGATATATAATGTAAGGAAAGCGTTCGAAATAAATTTGTACTCATGAGGGGTTGGTTTTAAGTGATGTCGACTCGTTATATCTGTTGATTTCAAATCAAATGCGTTGACTTTAAATACAAAGATATCGCACATGCATTGGTGGAAATGGATGTGGAAAGAGGAAAATCACATGCTGGACGGGACACTGTGACCTGGAGTTTAAATCTGACCTTTCTGTCTGTCATGATTCTGTTTGTGACCAACAGGTGGCACTGTAGGGCTCCCCCTGCAGCTGCACACCTGTTGGTCATTATGTAATTAGTTGTATAAAAGGACTCCCGCCCGACTACTCATTGTCGGGTCATTGTTTGTTTGTTTGTGTTTGCTACTGTCATGTTTGTTCTCAGTCATGTTTCGGTCATGGTTTTGTTTGCTACTTTGAATTCTTTTTGTTTTCAGGACTTAGTTTTCTCGATGTTTTAATACAAGTTGTCAAGTACACCCTGCTCCTCCCTCTTGCCTGCTTTTTGGGGTCCACCACCATCTTGCAAACGTGACAGACCGCAACGTGACGCTGTCAAACGAGCCAGCTCAGATGATATCACATCTCATGTGGCAATTGTAATATGTAAGTCACATATCCTTTTGGCAATTATTTTTTTATGGATTGCCTCTTCGCTTCCGATTAAAAATGAAGTCTGACACATTTGCAGCATTCAACAAATGATTGCAATCGATGCACCTGCCGAACAAGAGCAAAGTCGGTCGGGGGTCCCAAATACTTCACGATGCCGCCATTAAGTGTTGAAACGGCTTTCCAAAGGCAGACTTTATTGCGATCCTAACATTCGGGGCATTGAACCCGCAAACAAAATTTCGAACGGCCTATTGACTGGAATATATTAAATGTTGCGACACAGCTGAGGAGACGATGCGTCTTGATTCAGGGGACTTGAACCATAAGCCCTCCTACAAACACGTTCATCTGATGTGTGTCAGGACTTAGTGGAACATGTGTTTCCTCTCCACATCCTCACATGGTTCTTATTTCCATTGCTTAAATAGGCCCACCTCCGTAACCCATGGTCATTTCAAAAAAGCCTTTGGATTCATGTATCCTTTTATTTGTGGCTGATTTAATTCCATGTCAGCTTAGTTCCCCCCCCCCCCCCGCCATTTGTTAATCTTTGATGTGTACGTCAAGACCTTAATTTGCCAATCCAGACCGAAGAGCGAGTTCTGATCTTCTGTGATTGATCCCAAGGTCTAAATCGGATTTAATTGCCGCTAATGCCGCATTAACTCCTGTCCAAATATTTGACTTGTCATCCTAATTCGGCCAGCTCCTCCAAGAATAGCACGGTCATCTGTTTTGCATTGTCTCTGCATCCATTGCTGCTCCTCCACTCAATTTTCCGTCTCTCAGGCGCAATTGCTCGTCTTTGTTTTTCCCCAGCTCTCGCTTTCGTTCTGTCACACGCGTTGGAGCCGCATGTGATTCAGAGCTTTTTTTTTTCTTTAATTGGCGTAATTAAACTATATTTACGTGTGCAAAATACTTGTCATTTAGCAAATTGCACTGTACACACTTAACATTTAATCAGCGGTACTGCGGTGGAATGGAGTGATCAGTGTTTGGATTTCAGCGGTAAGCCGGTTTTTACTGTCTAAGTGGACTTCTGCCCGAGGTCCTGCGAAGGGTAGGAAAATAATCTGCGGAAGATGTAAAACTAGAAAAAAAAACATGTACATTTTTTTTTCAAGAGCACTAAACTTTCTAGTCTTATTATACTGACACGAGTGACATCAAACAAGGGCTTTCGTTTGTCTTAATTAAAAAATATATTTGCCACTGAAAAAGAAAACCGAGTCAACTGGGGAACGGGAATTAAACCTGCAGGTGTCTGAACAGTTGCTCGTGCAATATGAACATCACACGTCTCTTTCTGCATGCTTGCTTTTAGATTAATGGAATTAGTCGGGGATTTGAGCAGAGGAGGGAATTTGTCAAGTTGTACCTTTATATTAGCATAGTAACAGGCAAGCCCTACTTACTTGACGCCACACCGTAGTACATTTTCTCCTTGCTTGTGCGTCATTGAATCATTCCCACTAAAAACAGAAACCAAGCGTCAGTGTTTATTGTCTTGTCAGTTCTTTCTGAAAGTGGTCGAATTAAATGTCCTTTTGGCCGAGGCCAGATGAAAGTTCTGTGACAGATTTATGGTCAAAAAGGCCTTCCACTGCTGTCAGGCACTGTCAGATGGAACCACTCTGAGTTAAGTGGTATGCTTTCCCTTGTTCCGTGAGGGATGCGTTTACAGTCAGTATGTTTTTAAGGCATCACACATAGGAAAGAAAAAGGGACATTTTGCAAAAGAACCTAATGTTAAGCAAGACCGTGTCAATATAACACACATGTACTGGCTAAAATAATTCACTGAATTCTGATTCTAGGACATTTGCTGATGTTTATGAGCCTGGTCTACACTTAGACCTGCTGCAGCACTCAAGCAAATCAGTGTCTTCTTGTGCCACGTCCAGGACTATCAGCGTGCCCTTTACGTGCGGTTTTGAAAGAAAATGAGAGGCGGCAGTTTAACTGGCGGCGAAACAAGTGTTTTCACGCCCTTTTGAAAATGTACCATGCAGCACCGGTTTGCACAGCCTTGTGAAAATACCAGAACTCAGTCTCGCACACCCCTGTGAAGATATATACCGCACCTCATGCCAGACTTGCTCTGGGCATAAAAGTAGACCCCATAATGTAAAAATCTGCCCATTAACATTTAAAAAAAATGTATTGTCTGTTCATTAATAGACAGAGCCTTAGTAATTTTGTTGATGTGAATATTTAAAATAGGGTAGGTTGCGCAGTTGTGGGTGTGAAAACCGCCCTCAAAGTAGTTCCTCAAACAAAAAAAAAAAAACTGGTTGGAGCCTGTATGCAGCCAGCGAGTCACCAGTCACCAAACTGTCAGGTGAACCAGAGGTGTGTCAACGATCTCAGTCTGCCATAACACTAAGGGAGGCGCAGTGCAGTTTTTCAAATTCCCACGTACTCTAAGCTAGACTTCCCTTGGCACAAAAGTCAAGATACACCCGTTTTCACACCGAACGCACGTGGACCTTTAGTTAAGAATTTAGTCCATAACGTCAAATCTTTTGTTGACACATGCAAAGCAAATGTCTCTCCATTCATAGATAATATTGTTATAAATTATTCATATTTTCTGTCCATTCATATAGAAATTGTCCATTTAGTGTACCCGGTACATGAAGAGTATTACCCAATACTCTGTCCAATTACATCAAGATATGCATCTGCCCATGACCAAACAAACAATTAAAAAAAAAAGTCTGTCAATTTGCATCTGCTCGAAGACATGATCTAAAATGTTCTCATTACACTCACATCAGTCTGAAGCGAAAAAGGTCCTGAAAAAAGATTAATTGCCCTCCCAGTAAGTGCTATATATATATATATATATATTATTTTTATTTTTTTTTTGAAAGATGTTCGGTTGCATCTGCTCTGTTTTGATCATGCAAATCCTTCATGGCACTCGGTTAGCGAAGATGTTTAAAGAAGAGTCGAAGTAGCTTGCAGCGACTGCAAATTATGTTATAAGATGGACACAGCACCAATTCCTCATTAGCTGACACGTACTTCCTCTTAATTAGTTTCCATTCAATGTAATTAGCATGGATGAGACTAATCATTTGATGCGAAAGCAATCTAACGCTTGGGATAAGACGTCCTTGGCCTCACGTTCATGTCAGGTTCACAGACATTTTTTTTTCTTCAGGTGCTTTAATCCTTTTAGAACGCTTTCTTTGTAAAAAAAAAAAAAAAAAAACAGGCAACGTTAATCATCTTTTTAATGGGACGTCTTACACCATTTTGCACTTTATCTTTCAGTGTACATACACATTACGGGCACCGGCCTTTTCTTTCCCATTAATAGCAACCACAAGACGAGAATGCAGTCCAAAAGCCATGTGATAACCTTGTGTATGTCGAACAAGCATTGACTGCCCTTAAATGTCAAGTGTTTTTTTTTTTTGATTGGCCTTGACCTGGTGTCAGTGAGATTCAAACATTGACTCGTCTTTTGACTTAACACTGCTGGCGAATGAGTGAGCTCCTTCCCTCTCTAGTTTGTCATCTTTCATCTGACATCTAGTGGTAAGAGCCCTGCGAGTGCTCAATTTCTCGACGTGGCTTTGTTCAAGCAGCTCACGCAACGTTGTTGATGCAAACTCGATCCCGATCATCGTACGGATAATACCGAAGATGTCCAACTCCTTCGTGGTGTGAGGTTATGCAGGATATGAGCCTTTTATTTGATTTTCTGCCTTGCGGATTTGACTTCTCTGTGTGTTTATTGATATAAAATCCCGCAAAAAAATGATCCGCTCTGTCTTTTCAAGCATATTCGCTGACCGTGAAATGTCCTCATCTCTAATCTTTTGGCTGGAGACGAAAGGACGTGAGCTTTGGCCGATGCTTTAAAGTTTGATTTTCCCAGAGCGCCGGGAGGCACGCGTTCCCTCATTCGCCCCCTCAGTGCGCTTGATTTGTGTCTGATTTAAAACAGAACTCTGTTTATCCCCTCCACTCACTGTTATTATGACCGTGATTATTTAAGACTGCAAGCAATCGGAATGGAACCAGAGTAAATTAGATGTGTATAGAGCAAAAACGATCATATTTCTGGCATTTCAACATGTTTCTGTCAGTCGCTCGTTTCTTCTGTTTCTTGTTATTTCTTGTTTTATATGATTTTGCTCTCCCTCAGGCAAGTTCTTTTTTTTTTTTCCCTGAACTATTTGGTATGAACTCTTGCCATATGCCTGTCAAGATGCCCCAAAAAATATATATATATAAAATTCGGAGCAGCTATTTTCTTGCGCCAAGTATTTGGCCATCTGCTTAAGTCTTTAACTGGCTGTGCTCTGGGGCTTTGTCAAACTTGAACTATGAAGTCAAATAGTTTTTTCTGGCCCCCAAATCAAGCAACGCAGTTGCACTGGCAGTTCCAAACCAGCCTCAAATTATTCATAACCTCCACACCATGGCCAAATTTCGAGTTAAGTATATATTTTTTTTGTTTTTAATTCTCTAGACATTACCAGGATACTGTAGAATGGGGCAAATAAGTCATGCATTAATTAACAATGTCTGTTAAGACATTGATATTAATAATTTTCAAAGTGTTACAGAAAATAAAGATTTCTTAACACTTAGCATCTTTTGACATTTGAGTGTCATTCCAATCTAAAACCTACTCATACCCAGTACAGTGGTAGCTGTACTTACGAACGTCTCGTCATCGGAAATTTTCAAGATACGAAACGCCTCAACAGGAAAATGTTGCCTCTTGTTACGAAAGAAATTTCAAGATACGAAAGGTAAAAATACATTATGGGCTGCTCCTCGCAGCTCCGAGTTTCCTGGATGCAACATACTTATAGCTGCTCTGCCATTGGCTACTACCGAGCATCATCCTGGCATCCCATTGGCTAAGAGGGACCTCTACCGTATGTGTCTATGTGTGTCGATAGATAGATATGTGTTGATGCAGTGTCCTCGTCATTTGCCCAGGAGGCGTTCCAATAGTTTTACGTAAATGTGAATTACGCAGAAAAAGTGTTCACCAGTCGGGTGATCGATCACGATGCTGATATTTGCCTTGGGCATTTTCGAAGGTTTGTGAAAAGCGACAAAAGCAAACGTCCTTAGATCAGTTATTTACAAAACGCCGGGCAAAAACTACTTCTGAGAGAGAACATGAACTAAAGAGGGCAAAAAAAATCATGAGGATGCAGTTAAAAGTTAAATGACCATTTTTATTATTTACTCTATTCTTTGTTTTTACTTTATGCACAACTTTCACGTATTGTGCAATAATCTAATTGTAACATGTATTTGTTAAATATTTTGATGCATTTTTATGCTTTATAAAACATTTAGATCTGAATTTTGGTGGGCTTGGAACGGATTAGGGCATTAACATGGTAAACGCGTCTCTACTTACAAACTTTTCTAGTAAAGAAATTTCTTCCAGAACCAATTCATTTCGTATAGGTACCACTGTTTTTGCTTCGTATTGGCTAAATGTGTTGAAATGAGGATGCGGACAGCTGCTTGTTGTAATACCATTTGCCGATTTTAAAGGAGAACATGAAAAATGCGTGTTCATCAACCATAGCCGAAGAGATAGCGTTTCGATGGGGGGTGAAGTTCATTATGCAGCACATAGGACACCATTATTAGCCCCATTACACACAGTGACAGCCGCACATTTATTCTCCAATACCTGCTTTTTAAAGCCACCCATTAATAATGAGGACTGCAGTGGGCCTTGCCTCAGAAGAAGGTCATGATAGACCAGGCTTCTATTTGTCAAAATCATTTCATAATCACAGGTCACAAGGAGGGCTTTTGCTTTGCTTAATTGTCGACTAGGTTAGCCATCCATCAAATTTCTATACCGCTTGTCCTTCTTGGGGTCGCGGTTGGTTTGGAGCTTTTCCCTGTTGGCTTTGGACAAGAGGTAGGCAACACATTGGTCAGGTCATCAGTCAATCACAGGGCACATATAAAAAAAAATGTAATTTTCACTCAGAGTCGCAATTATGGAGGGAGGCCAAACGATGGCTTCAGGGGCCATTTGGTGCTTGGTGTTTTTTCTTTTCTTTTTTTTTTTGTGTGGTCTGTGGCAAATACTAAAATTAGCACAGCCGCAGTGTCATTTGCCTGCATTGTATGACTTACTTTCTACACTGGAGTCGAGAAGTTCTTTTTCAATCTTAGTTCCTTCTTATCATCCATCAATCCATTTTCTGATCCGGTTATCCTCACAAGGGTTGTGGGGCGTGCTGGAGCCTATACTATCTGTCTTCGGGCATTAGGCAGGGTGCACCCTCAACTGGTTACCAGCCAATCACCTAGACCAACAAGCATTCACGCTCACACTCACACCTAGCGACAATTTAGAGTGCTACATTAGTCTGCAACGCATGTTTTTGGAATGTGGGAGAAAAACGGAGTACCCGGAGAAAACCCACGCAGGCACAGGGAGAACATGCAAATTCCACACAGGAAAGCCAAAGCCGGAATCGCACCCGGTACCTCTGCACTGTGAGGCCGACGTGCTAACCAGTCGATTACCGTACCAATGTATATTTTCTCATTGTTGTTATATACTGGTATTATCACGAGCCAATGCTAATCCAAAAATAATGATAATAATAATAGCAGTTAAACAAAACAAAATAAAAATAATTACATTTTGTGTATCTGTGTAAAATAATCCTATTAATTACAATGTCAATTTAGCCTAATGCTCACAAAAGTTGCAAAATGCCATGTATGCGCAAACAAATCAACGTTGGCTTATGGTTTTATAACATTTTCAGCAACGGCTATTTTAAAAAAATGGTGAAGGAACGCATGTAGACAGCTCTGTCAAGGTAATGTTTGTACAAATTAGGCGTTGCATGACTTCAGATTAAGTTTAAAATCTTCACCAGTGTGATGAAAATTGAGTGTATGTCAACTCGTTGCCGATGACCTCATTGATTTTTTTTTCCCAGTAATTCACAAAAGAAATAACAAGAGTAAAGTTTTCTATACAATATTTACCTTCACTGACAATGACTATCCCACCCAAAGTTTGACGTGGATTTGGCAAAGGCGAGATTGCTCCAATGTTGATGCTGAACGCCAGGCTGTTTGAAATACATCCGGCTGCCAAGACTCGACGGGTGAATTCCAATGTCATGATCGTGTCGCGGTGGACTATGGCTCAAGGTACTCTTGTCATGTGACCTTCAATGGCACAGTGTTCGGACCAAAGCCACAACAGTTTATTTGTTTCTATGCCTTTGTAAGGTAGAGAGTTAATAAGTCTACTGGCTGGTAATAAGTGTACGGTGCAGTATAATTAGAGATTTTATCAGAATGACCCCTTTGGCAAACTTGACTAGTGGAAGGAGACATCTGAGCTCCTTCATACTTCCTGTCGGCCCTTGTTTTATCGAAAAGGCCCGCTTGAATGGATAATAGAGTCATTTTCTCCAAAGAGAGATAATGGAGGGTGGAGTGGTTCCTTTGGCAGACTACCATCACTTCCATGCTCTGGAGAAAACCAATACCAGCCCTATCAACTGATATATGACACTAATACACTGGCCGACTTGAGCCCCAAACAGAATAGAGGAATTGTTTTGACTTTTGACTGGTCGGAGGATCTATGACTCACAGGTACCGCACTGTCTGGCCCCCGAGACTGCTCTAATTGCTTTACATCTGTACAAAGGTTTCTTGTAATCGGGCCTTCTCCCTCCATTTGTCTTCCTTTCAGTTTCCTTGTGAAGGCCTTAATTGGTCTTAGTGGGGCTTTTTTTTTTTTTTTCCATTTAGCTCCCGGGCCTTAGCCAGAGGAAGACTTAACCTCAGGGGGCAGTTGGGTTTGCTGGCTTCTAGTGGTTGGTAGGTTGCGCAAGAGAGGAAGTCAATATTTCTTCTACCTTTAACACTTTAATTAATGTTCTCCTGACAAGCAGCCTTTGCGCGTAGCTTCACATGGGGGTGGTTGTGCTCCTGGGAGCCGCAGAACAATCAAGACTTGTTCTGCTCTGTGAGAAAACCTCCCATGTAGTCTCCGGTGGCCAGTCGACATTTTGTGAGAATGTGAGAAGGAGATGTTATTTTTGCTTGATGGTGGACGCATATTTTTCCGATTAGGTCAATTTTCCTTTCTTTTTCTAGTGATCAGTGTATCCACCCTCGTGACATTTTAAGTTACGTTGAGTCTATTTATGAAGTATCACGCGCAAGATGAAAGCAATCTTACGTCCTGAATGTGCCGCTATATCAATTGTGAACTGGCCGCTAGGTTCAGCCCCACTGTGCTGCCTCGCATTTCCTGCTGACTGACTGATATGGAGCTATGCTGCCAAGGCTTAAATAGCAGCTGTAAGCGTCCAGCTGCTCTCTGCCACACTCCACTTCTCCCCAGATGGCTCTGAGACGTTCCAGCAGCCCTCCGGAGAAGCGCTCATGAGGAAAGTGTTATGGAGTGGCTCTCTGAAACACCAGGGAGCATCCCTCACCGCACCACGGCCACCCTCCTGCTTCTCCAACTGTTATGCCAAGAGCCCAAATCAGGGCAGGACTGTTCCAGTCGTTTCGTTTGCCAATTTACCAATGGGATGCACAGATGGTGGTGTCCACAGCACAGGCCAGCATGAGGCAGGGCCTCAGAGAAGTTGGATTGCGGGGTGGTTGGAAGGGAGCACATGCCATGCCCGGCCCGGGATGCCAACGATATCCCTCAGGAGGGGCTCTCGTTGGTCCTCAGCAGATCACAAGCCAAAGTCTGGCAAGCGGTGCAAAGTTCAGTTCAGAGGTGTTGTAGTAAAATGTTTGCTTTTGGCCAAATAGGCGTCTTCCATAAGCGGGCCATTTCAGAGTAATTCCGATGCCGAGGAGTTTATTTTGAAGGAAAACGAGAATGTAATTTTGCTTGAACATTCCACTCAAACATTTACTGTAGTATGGGGGAATGCTCAGCGTATAAAGCAACTTGGCATGTCCTCAAAATGTTCACATTGCGTCTTTTGTATTTCCCTGGCATGTGGTGGAGTTGCGCTTCGTCCATTCACAGCACTTTCTTTATATTTTATAATCAGTATGAAGCATGAATATTAAACAACCATTCCTACTAAGAATCGATTTTAACTCTGCACAGTCTGCCAAAGCCATTTGCTAGAAGCTAGTTGTGATTTCATTTCTCCCAACCCCAAAAGAGCTTTGAACCTTTGAACAAGCGAGCTAACATCCAAGTGGCGATAGGACAAAAGTATTCAAGATGGAGTGCAGCAATAATTTCAAATTTGTCAATGTCCAGAAATATACACACGTGGTCAAAATTGCTGGCACCCTTTGTGAATGTAATGATCCTGAGAGTGAAAGTTCACGGTTCATAGCGCGTCAATGGGACAAGGCAATGCGTTTTACAGGATAAGAATAACAAGAATGAAATGTTAGGATAAAATGGTGGCGTGTGTTTCTTTTTGTTTTGTTTTTGAGCTGCAGCTAAAACCAGAGAAGCATATAAAATCAGTCATTGAGAGTCTAAGTTGTGGCCCACACTGCTGTTGTACGATGCTGCTGGCGGTGGGTGCAAAAGGTCGAAGAAAGGTGTTCGAAAAAACTCACAACGCAAAAAAAAACTCTCACTGAATTGACTTGGAAACAAATCAAATAAATATCCAGCCATCCATTCTCTGTACCCTTTATGCTCCCGACGGTTGCATGTGTGCTGGAGCTTATCCCAGATGACTTTGGGCAAGACCCTGAACTGGTCGCCAGCCGGTTGCAGGACACAAACAACCATTCACAATCACATTCAAACCTATGAACACTTTAGGGTTGCAAGCCACGTGGGTTAAGTGCGCACCACTTGATTATGTCAATGGTAGATTTTATCTTCCAGCTGTGGAACACAATAGAACCATAAAATGCAAAGAGGAAATAGAAGAAACGGCGCATGGCATCACAATAATAATAGTCTTGCAGTTTCTTCAAAGTGGACTTTTAAAATCATTTGTCACTTTGTTGACTCAAGATCCTGTTTGGGAGAGGGGTCTCATTCTTGTATCCACTTTACTCTGTTCTCTTACCGCTGGTCTTATCCTGTCATTTCCTGTGGCCAGCGAAAAGGGAAGTGCGCTCAAGAAGGGGTGCTCGACCACGATTGCTCCCAGAGAGGGGGGGGGGGGGCCCTTGCTCTGCTGACCTCATTGTTATCCTTTTCATGACAGGAAACATGCATAACCGTAGGCCCACTAATGTGAACCACATTCCACCACCGGTTGATCAAAGCCAGACTGCCTGGACAACAAAGTGTCCATAATGCCACATTTTGACCATATAATTCGAGAATAATTATGTCTGACAAAACACTCCACAGATATTATTTTTTAACCTGTGTTTCTTTTCCTCCTCCCCCTGTGTCTTTGTTCTATAAGAAAGCCCAAAGAAGCCTTGCAATAAACCATGTGGGATATTGTGTGCTGAGTTGGCTTGAAAGCTCTCGAGTGGAGCTAAGGGTAGGTCAGTTTTTATTGGCGCACAATTGCTTATTCAGAGACTTTATAACAACACTCAAGGGTAGCAGAAACCAGTGGCCCAGAAAAACGCTGGTGCCTCTTATGACAGCTGACTCTCATACTCTGACAAGACACCACTCTCACTAAAATCGGTGTCCACCAGCCTGGATTTGATTTACTCACTCTGATAACAGTCCAAAGTATAAGTATAGTCTTTCTTTTGTTGACCTCCTCGTGCCTCACAAAATGTTTGGGATATATATATATATATATATGTGTGT